TTAGATATTAAAGGAGCCTTCGACTACATCGCCCGCCCTTAGCTACTAAGAACCCTTTAAGACCTCTAACTACCCTCGAATCTAGTTAAATAGGTAGCCTCCTTTATAGAAAATAGGCGTGTTACGGCCAACGGGCCCAACTATGTAACAGCACGAAGGATACACTGGTACGTGACATACTAGGACGTTACCAGAAGATAATTCAGGAAAGAGGGATCACATACCCTGACACGTGACTACGCCAAGACGGATACACTAGTACGTAGGGTATCGCGAAGTGTTTACGGAGGGGACGGTGAACAGGTTAGGACGTTCACCAGGGCACTAGTAAATAACGTAACTCTATTTACCCGTGGCTTAGTGAACTACACTATATATATATCAGAGTATTCTAGGTCTTACTTCTATTAGAGAATAAGATATCGATTAATCTAAGTCTTCACCTAGATTACTATTCTACGCTTAAACCTACCTTATAAAGAAGACGCCTAGTCTTTATAATATAACTACGACTAGACTACTACGAATAATAGTTACTACTCTTTAGTTAATATCCTCTTCTTATTTTACACTAAAACCTTAACGCTAATCCTTTATCGTCCGCTATATTATAGAGGACTGGAAGCCGTCGTAATATTTTAATCGATCCTATTCGGTAAGTAGACCTTAATACCTAACGAGTAGTACTCTTTTAATAGAAGGTAATATATCGAATAATGCTAATACCACGGGTAACGATATTAGTAATACTATAATAATAGCTACCATGGCCGCTAACCTACTATAAGCTATATATAATTAAATTACGTAACTCTACCGAGAGAATTAGTAACTCCGAGCTTAGATTCAGGCACTACGTCCTAGTAACCTAAGGTATAAATACCTAGAGCTACCTAATTATAATAGGACTCGGGGATAGCTATAAGGCTTCCTAACCTATCTCCGGGGGTATTTCTTATTCTATAAGGATACCCTTAACACGGAGGAGGCGAAAGTTCTCTACGCTATAGCACTCCTTATAGGAGACGCCTATAGGTGGTTTAAGCCTATCTATAAGGACTATCTAGAGCACCTTAACGATCCTACTAAGAGGGAGGATATTATTATAGCTATCTTCGGCGACTTTAAGGTTTTCGCTTAGCGACTCGGCGGTATCTTTAGGTAACCCCATAAGAAAAGGGTTATTACTTAACGACTTAAAAAACTTCGATAGACTAAGTTAGTAGCCGACTATACCGCTAAGTTTTAATAGATCGCCTTAAAGCTTAACTATAATAACGAACCCTTTATAGACTAATATTATTATAGACTTAAAGATAAAGTTAAGGATAAACTATATAAGCTTAACCGCCTAGACGATTTTAGCACGTTTATAGCTATAGCTATTCGGATTAATAACCGATAATTTAAATAATAAATAGAGAAACGCTAGGGCTTAAATACCACGATATACGCTACTTACTATAGGAGGAACTAAGCTAATACCGGTAAAAAGTAACTATACCCACGCTAATTCGGGAGTATCTCGTATAGGTACTATAATAATCCTATAAAGCTCGATAATATTAACCGATAGAATAATAAGCAGGGCAGGAAAGATATACGTAAAGTTAAATACTATAATTACGATAAAACAGGCCACTTCGCGCGTAATTACTAATCGCCTAAGAGAGAACGATCGTAATAATAGGCTAATACGATCGGAAGGGAGAAACCCTAGAAGGAAATTAACACTATTAAATACCTGGAAATTTATAGGGATAAAATACTATACGCTAACCTCTATTAGATAACCTGCTACGATAACTATTATCTAGTATACTAATTAGAGAAGGATAGAGCTAGATATTACCCTAAAAGACCCTAAAAGATACTCGTTATAGTATCTAGTAACAAGTACGATAACGACTATAGCCTTAAAATCCCCGACTAGGATAATAATAGACTAGCTTTATAAACTATTATAGAAATTCTTTAGGAACGCGGATAGATAAGGGAAAAAGCTAAAAGATAGAAATAGATCTTAGAGATCAAGAAGAAATAGGAAGTCCATACGAATACTAGTAGTGGAGGCTTTAGCGCCCTTTAGGAAGTAGGACTTACTCCCGAAGAAAAACACTAGCTTAAGAAAAAGGATTATGCACGTTACGCACGGGAGGAAATTACTAAGCTCGAAGAGTAAGATTAGGAAATAGAGTCCGAGGAAATTCCGGATAATAATATAAACTTCTAGTATCGACTTATAGAAGTAGCTAACCTAATTAAGGAGGAAGCTATCTAGCTACGAATACTCGACTGGCTTATAGAAGAACCCCTTAGATAAACCCACTATATCCGTTTTACTAAACTTAGCTTTAATAACGCCTACTATAAAGCACCTACGAATATTAGCGAAGAATAGTAACGAACCGTATATTAGCGACCTTACCACGCTTAGGAAGACCGAGACACTTTTACCGGCCTAACGATAAGCCTATAAGGACCGGATAATTAACTACCCGAGTACTAAATGTATAAGAAAAGATAGATAATACACGCTAACTATCTAGGCTATAGCCTAATCCTTCAGACTAATTATATCAAGGATATATACCTTACGTATAAGGAACGTAAACAGGCTAATAACTTCTGGCCACGGAACGAAGAATAAACCCTAGAAGATAGAGTCTATTTAAAGAGATAACGTGACGACTAGGTTATTACGGAGACTAAGGATAAAGGACGCGAGATTCGCCTCTAACTACCTAAAAACGACTACTACGAGTATCGGTTAAGCGAATATAAAACTAATAGCTATATAATATACGCTACCGGAAAAATCCGATAACTAGAGCGAGACTAAAAAGCTTAGGAATTATGCTTCTAGGCCCTCGATAAGCGCCTATAATAGATAGAATAGCTCTTAATATAGTATAGGTTCTTAGATAAAGAGATATCTCTCGAATACTAAGCTAAATAGGTAAAAAACTAGGAGTATACTATTATAAGAAGTACGCGAGAGGCACTCGATAGATATACTCTATAATACGTAGTAGTATAGGGTATTATTATACTTAAGGAGGAAAAGGAGAACTTCTCCCCCTCTACGCTAATATAGTAGTCTAGTATTACCGAGTACTCGGCGGTCTAAGTATATCTCCGATCCTATATAGTGCTAATCTATCGTGCCACTTAGTTTCTTATAGATCCTTCTCTTTATAGTAGGCTTAATCGGTTGAATCGGTTTAATCCGTTTACTCCGTTTAATCTATTCAATCCATTTAATCCGTTTAAATCGTTTGATTAGCTTACATTATGCGGATCGTGTTTTTGCCCTTGGTTATAAACGTTAATTAAGCTATCTTCCTATAACGTAATTACGTATACCGTCCTAGCTCTTCCTATAATCTACGGATAGCTTCGTCTATGCCCGAGTATAATCTAGGTAGAATTAGGTTGTCTCCTACTGAATTTAGGTTCGATTAGCCCCGACCCCTACCCCTACGGTATCTATCGATAGATATTTAGAAAGGTAAAAAAGACGATTGCGTGGTTATATAGCAGATAGATAATTATAAACAGATTAAACCTACTATAAAGGGAAGGATCGCGAGTGTGGACGCCTAGCGCCGGCTAATAGCAATAGTACCCTAGTCGGAATAAGTGCCAACTTTATAAAAACGAACGAAAAGCCCTACGGGAAGCCCGAATAGGCCTAACACTATCTCTACAGCTATTATTTAGTACGAAAAGAGGGATATAGGCCTTCTAGGCCTATCTTTTAGCTACTAGAATATCTTTGGCGGAATAGTACAAGGCGCAACCCTTGGATTCTACAGTCTAGTTATTCTATTGTTGGTTTTTATCTATTTTTAGGTCTATTAGGCAAATTATTACAGAGGATCTCCTTTATTTAGTACCGTCATTTACTATATTTAGCTTCTAATAGCCTACTACCTTTAGGGTACTAGGTGCCGCGCTATAGGGCTATACGCGCGTAATAAATACATAAATAAAAATCTAAGAAAAAGTATAGAGGTTTTCCCCCGGGTTTTCCTCACTATAGCTACCCGAGAAAAACTATATAGCCTAGGTAAGCTCCTATATATTAAAGAGAATAGCGGAGTAAAATAGATAATAATAATACTAACTACAATTATTACCATATCTTAGTATCCCTTTTACCCCCCCTATCCCGGCCCTGAAATGCCGCTATTATAGGCTATGTACCGATTTAAAGATATGGATAAAATTAGAAAAAAAAGCTTTAAAAGCTAAGGTTAGCTAGATAAGCTACTAAGATAGGATATCCGCAGGAATATAACGGGAGCATAGCTAACAATAACCTATAATAAGGATTATATCGTTATAAGGGAAAGAAGGAGAAAAGCAATAAAAAGGGCTATAATAGATCTTAACTATATACTATTTATACCTATAGGCGGGGTCTTATCCTACTCTGCCTACCGCTAGATATAGTAGGTCGTTTACCCTGAAGAAGGTAGGGGGCGCCTATAGTACCTATTCTCTTTATTATATAGAAGGGATAATAGAAATATTCTCCATAATATAAGGAGGCTAAGTATAGTATACCTTAGCCTCTATACTAAGGTAATACCGCGGCCCCTATATAGCCTCCTACTCCCTAACTAGCGGTTAGCCTAGGTTAATCTAATCTCCTAGCCTACTACCCTTTCTATTAGCCACTAGCCTCAAGGTATAATCCAGATACGTAGACAAGGCATACCAGAGCTATACCGGCCCTATAATAGCACTACTCTTAACTAAGGAAGAGTATAGAGGTTTTGCCCCGGGTTTTCCCCTTTATAGACACCCGAGAAGGACCGTATAGCCTACCCAGGCTTCTATAGATTGAATAGGATAGCGGAGCAAGAAATATAATAATAAAAATTAATTTATATATGTCCTCTTTATTTATATACGAGTTTTAATACTACTTAATATAATAGACCTTTGATAAGATTGGTTTTTTTGCTTACAACAGCCTCTTATCCGGCAAACCTCCGTCGTCCAACAACTACCTACCGCGTGTTGCAGCTACAACCAGCTAGGTGGTTAAGCTGGTAGCCGTGGCCCTCCGAAACTATGGTCACTGCCTCGTTGACCCCGTCGGCGCTCCTACGGCCAGAAGGAAGTATCCGACTGGCTTCAAGTCTCTCCCGAGTGCGTCGCTGCCGGCAGCCGAGGCTCGCCCGATATCATCGGTCATTCACCACAGGTCGGCAACATTGGCCTCCCCCTCGATCCCCTTGCTTGCTTGGTGAGCTAACGCCATTGTTTGACACCGTAAATAGGCCCCACGCATGCGCCGTCAGCGAACCCACAATCTCGCCTGCGAAGATCTCTGGGTTTAACGCTTGTTGGCCTTGGGTGTGCAGGGCTCGGCTTCTTTGTCGGTACTGCACCTGCGCTCTCTGGCATCCTCAGTGCCCTTCAGCCTCGATCCGATGAGGAGACCGTTCGTGCATACGCTCCAACAAACCAAGAAGCGGCCTCAGTAGAGGCCAAGATCAACAACCATCCTCTGGTGGCGGAACTGCGGAAGCGGTCGGATCTAACGGAATCCCGACCGCACATGAAGTTTCCTGAAGCGTTTCGTCAGAGAAACCTCACTGCTGGAATCCTTTTGGGACCTGGTCGCCTCACGGTTCCGCCTTTCTCGTGGACCGAAAACGGTGGCAAGTCTCTCGTGACTATCCTACACCTAGGAACCGACTTGTGCGGTCATCCTGGCATTGTCCATGGCGGCTTGCTGGCCACGCTGCTGGATGAGGGGTTGGCGAGATGCTGCTTCGATGCGCTCCCCAATAAAATTGCAGTGACAGCCAAGCTGGAGGTGAATTATAGGAAGCCGACGCCAGCGGGCTCATTTGTGGTGCTACGGGCTGAGACGAAACAAGTCGAAGGACGGAAGGCATGGGTAGAGGGTCGGATAGAAACTCTGGTTGATGAGGGTGAACAACCCACTATCCTGGCCGAGGCGTCCGGTCTCTTTGTGTCGCCCAAGTCAAGACTTGCTATGGTATGGCCAATCACTCACACTGCCCCATTTTCACTCGTAGCGGCTTTGATTTTCCATGCGCTGACTGCTTTATTATTTAGTTGCTATCACGATTGTACATGAGTTGAAGAAAGCGCTCATATGTTCAGAGTAGATGCGTGCTAAACTATTAAATCACCTAACATGTTACTACATGGCCTGGGTATCGCGTCGAACCGTTGGTTCTGCACCTTATATTTATCATGGGCCCTCGCCCACAGATCGTATTTAGTATATAGCCGGCTTCCCTCGGATGAGACAGCTTTTTGCGACCGTTGCCGCGGATGGGACTTACCAATGTTTAGTGGCTGGCCAACCAATTAGGTGATGTGCCGCCCGCTCATATTCCACCATTCCAACCAGGCCGATTATCGGTGGTACTGTATGACTCAGTATCACTCGAAAGTTCTCCAGTCGCTGGATAATAATTACGCTCTGGGATTCTATTCTGTCGATAACTTGGAGTAGATCGTATTTGGTTGTGGTCATCCGCCCGTCTTATTTCAAAGTTCCAAGGTTCTTAGCTGAGACAACTCAGAGGTCTAACGATGGCTACGTATGTATTATCAAACCACGAAACCCCCCGTCTGAATCTGAACCCCTCTCTTTGCGCCCTGGCCTGAATGCCCCTCTCTACCCTTTCCGAGCTCCCCTCTTGCCTCTTTAGTTGTCCTTCTCACTTGCCCTGTTGCGCCACTCCATTCTCCTACCTTCGGCTCCTATTGGAAGATGACATTTAAAGAGACGTTTGGTTAACATGTATATGATGATCAAGTAATATCACCTGGCACCCATCATTGTCACGCCATGAGCGCAACCAACTCCGCGGCCAGCGCGGCTTCACAATTTGGCTTACCGGGCTCTCCGCCTCCGGAAAGAGCACTGTGGCTACTGCCTTAGAGCAGCATCTTCTCCACCTCGGTCTTTCGGCATATCGACTGGACGGCGATAATGTCCGCTTCGGCCTCAACAAAGACCTTGGGTTCTCAGAGAAGGATCGAAACGAGAACATCCGTCGCATCGCAGAGGTGAGGAATAAGCTCTTTGCTTGCTGCCGAGCCGGAGTCATACTACCTAGACATTTCAATTTCTTTCTGACATACCTCCAGGTCGCAAAGTTGTTTGCAGACTCGTCCACCATTGCTATAACTTCATTCATTTCCCCATATCGTGCCGATCGACAAATCGCACGTGAGCTGCATAGCCAAGCAACTGCTAATGGCGACGATTCCATCCCGTTCATTGAAGTCTTCGTGGATGTTCCGCTCGAAGTTGCCGAACAGCGTGATCCGAAAGGATTGTATAAGAAGGCCAGGGCAGGGGAAATCAAGGACTTCACCGGAATCTCCGCTCCCTATGAAGAACCCATAGATCCCGAGATGCGGATTAGGACCCACGAGTCATCGGTTGAAGAGTGTGTCGCCCAGATCACAGATTGGTTGTCCGCCCGAGGCCTGCTACCCCCCACCCAGAAAGCGTCCTAAGAAGCCGTCCGCTTCGATGCGGACTCTATAGTTTTAGAATCCTCTGTAGAACAGGACGTTCTATTTGGGGAACTAGACATACTCGTTGGGGGATGCGATTGAACGCCATGAGGCCAAATGTGATATCTTTTCATTACGGCATGGGACACCCACCAGTCTCCTGGCTATCGTGATACCAAGGCATAAATGGTCATCTAATTGACGCAAGAGCGATTAGGGGAAGACAAACTCGTAATACACATACGCCGTGTATTCACTGCCTTCGGCACCTCCAACCCCTGCCGCTGCCAACTCCGAGGTTAGAGTGGCATCGTCTTTGGTCATCCTGCCACGCTTATCCCTGCCGAACGCATTACCTCCGAGATACGAGTATTGAGAGTCGAGGGCACTCCTGACCTTGCTGGCTTGCTTCGGAGTTGTCTAAGCAAAATCTATTAGTTGCCGCGCCTGGCCTGGGCCACGGGGGTCAGACTCACCTTGACCAAAGCAGAGACATAGTCCAGCGGTAGACCGTAGCGGAGGACAGCCTCGACAAATACGCGTAGCGTAAGAACGTGTAGCCAAATCATGACGCTCTCGCTCCACCCTGTCCGGCTTAATCGGAGAATCTCCACCCAAATCTTCTTTTCCTCTTGTGCCACTCGATCCAGTTCTTGTTGTTCTTCCTCTCTGCCACCCTGGACATGCTTGTATTGTCGGGGTGTCCACTTTTGTTCTCGGCATTTTTGGAGAAACTGTGCGCTGGTCTTCTTGAACGTCGTGACAGCAAACAGGATGAACTCGTCGTCTTGCGCGACCTGTACGGACGAGCGCGGCACTACCATGGGGGCCAGAGTCTCGTAGCTCTTCAGAAAGTCTTTCTTTTCATTGACGGGCACTGCGATCAGATGTGTCTCAAGGTACTCCGAGTCCTGAACAAGCAACGTTGGATCGACGACAGACGTCAGTGATTTCGTAGACAGGTTGCCACTGAAATGTGAATGTATGAGTTAGATGGTGAGTATCGGCAAGTATTGCAGTTGAACGGCTCACGTTTGTTTACGCTGCAGGGCAATGAGGTTGTTCTTGACTAAATTGTACTGGTTCAACTTTGCCTTAACATCGTTGTCAACGGTAATGAGCTCCTTGAGAAGCAGGTTAGGGCTCTGAATGTTTGTATAGCTAGAAATAGCGACAAAGAGGGGGGAAAGAAACCTTCTGAAGCATATCGACTAATTCTCCAAGTGGCTTGTCGGCCCGATATCTTAGCTTGTTCCAGGAGAACGAGCTGAGATAATGGTCAATGGGTTCTAATTAGACATGCCAGGTCAGCCACTCTGTAATCTCGAATGAACAAAGGCGACATGGTGATGGTGGGAAAGTGCTGCTATCTCCTTACTATCATTCACCATCTTTTGCTGATTGATCCTGTCCTCATCTCCGCCCATAAGCGTTTGCAAGGATTCTGCGATCTTCGCTACGACAGATTCACAGGCAGCCTCAAGCTTTGCAAGATCATCAGCTTGCTGAACAAGCGCATCTAGAGTCCCAATCTTGAAATGCGGAAGTGGAAAAGGCCGAGTGATGCCATTGTCGACAGAGATCACTGCGGACAGAGCTGAGAGTGCTTCGTCTTGGTTATGCGAGTCGAAGATGCCAAGAGGCAGTGATACGAGTATGTATTTGGCGGGCATCGTGTTAATAGCTCAGACCCTGCGCACACCTTTCGGTAGTGTAGAGGGCTTGAACTGCCCAGGAGGTCGGGATCTGAGCGAGATTGAAAAAGAACCGATCGTAGGTCAAGGAAGCCAGCCTTCTGAAGACGTTTGAAAGCCGGTTGCTGTAAGATGTTTACTGGAGAGCACTTCGTTGAGTGCTGAGGAGAGGATGTATTAGATGTCCACAGCCACCTTATCGAGGTGTCAGAACACAAATAAGGTACGCGGAATTATGTGTGTATTTATCTAAGTGAAGTCTAAGATACTTCGTGGGGATATCTAACTATAGGGAAAAAGCAGGGGAAATAAGGTTGGCTATATGGGACCGAGGTACTCTACACGTCTGATATAATATGGTTTATCATGCCTCGATAAGGTGGCTAGTGGTATCTAATATACCCTACTAGAATAGTAGGATTAATTCTAACTATTCTGCACATCGAATTAAAGCCCTAGGGTAAAATAAGTCTAGATATTAATTAACGGCGTTAAAGGCGTTAAAGCCTTATAGTTAAAAAGTGTTAAAAATAATAGCCTAAATAATAGTCTATAAGGTATAAAAACACTTCAATATAACGGTCTCATTAACTATTTTCCAAAACCGATAAAAGGGAATCTTATTATACCTAATATCTTATACCTTAACCTCCTATTAACTCCTAGTGGTTCTACCTTTAACCTCTTATAGCCTAATATCTAGGAATCTAGATATAGCCTTGGCTCTTCTAGGTCGTAGCGATATCCCTCGGGGTTACTATCCTTTAGCTAGATAATAACGATACTATAACGATAACCTATGAATTCTAGGTGTATCTACTACTAGATAGGCCCTTCTAGGTTATGGATATAAGTCTCGTGGATACTATCCCTTAGCTATATAATAACGATACTATAACGATAACCTATTAATTCTAGGTATATCTGCTACTAGATAGGCCCTTCCAGGTCGTGGATATAAGTCTTATAGATACTATCCCTTAGCTATACTATCGAGATAGTACCGTATTAATAACCGGCCTGCTTAATAACACGATTAAATAGGGGAGATATAACGCGATCTCCTTTAACCTAGGAAAAATAGAAGTATTATACTTTTTACGCCGTAGGGAGTTATACCTCCCCACGATCACCCACGTTATATACTAGGTTACCCCGAGCCTCTCTATACGTTAGCTTAGGATCTAGCTCGATAAAACTATATCTTTTAAGTCCTATATTAAGATAAGAGCGGCTAAGGCATACTCCACGGCCGGCTATATAAGAGGACTAAACAGAGTTATCTCTACAGCACCCCTATCCGCTGTACGGAAGGCCATCCACACGATTATACTCCCGAAGACCTTTTTCGGCGCCGAAGTATAGTACCCGGGTAAGACCCGCCCCGGGGCTAAGCGAGTATACGGGGTTTACCCGAGAGTCTAAACCGGGCTCTAAGACCAAGTTTTAAAGATATAAGTCTTAGTTAACCTCGCCCTAAAAGGGTGCCTACTGGTATAGAAAACGATACCGATCCCTGCTATGCTTAGGGAAATAAATACCCCCCCGGGAAACCTGCTCCTAGACGTAGTCCGAGCTAGGTATGCCCTGCGCCTCTTTATGCTAGACGAAGGATACCCCCTAATCTATAGGATCACAGATTATAACCCCCTAAATAATAAAGGGAACCCCGCCCGCCTAACTATACTTATAGAGGCTATATACCTTACGCTAGTATTACCCCGCCCCGCTCTCGCACCCCTAGATTATAGCAGAATCCCTATATCCCCCCGTTACCTAAGCGGGAAGGAGACCGCTATAGAAGACTTTAACTAGTAGTTCTTATTATACTTAGCGGATAATATTACTATCTTCTTAGATAGCTTATAGACCGATACTAGTACCGGAGCAGGGATAGGCTTCGGGTATATAATATATAAGGGATTAGACCTTATACACGTAGGGTATAGACCCTTAGCTAACGCCGAAGTCTTCGACGCGGAAGTAGAAAGAGCACGTGCTAGCCTAAAGGCCGTACTCGGGAGAACGAATAAGCGGATAAAATTGGTTACCATCTACCTTAATAATATAGCGATAATACAGGGGCTTAATAGTCCCCTAACCCCGGTATCGTTATAAAAAGCCTTTATAGACTTTAGAAGACTGGCTAATAAGACCCCCTTCCCCGTTTACGTGCTATGGATACTAGGGTATATAGGTATTATAGGGAATAAGCTCGCTAACTACCTTACGAAGAAGGACGTATATATCCGCCTATACTATAAACCTATACCGACCTTCTACTATACTAGAAGGACGACGAAATAAACCCACTGGAGAGAATTCTAGGACTAATAGCTATAAAATAAACCTAATAGCTATAAGGACCTAGACCTCCCTACCTCGCTCTAACCTACTAGGGAGATCCTTACTCCAGATCGCCCTACGCTTTATTACCTCCTCGTAGCGTAAAACGGGTATAGCGACTTCGCGCGGTACTATACCCATTTCGACTATATGGATATATATATAACCTGCTTATATAAGAATAGTAAGACACTAGCCTATCCCCTATTCTGCAGAAAGGCAAAGGGTAGGACTATCCCGTGGATAGGCCGCCGATCATATATATCGTAATAACTCAGGCTCGAATAGCCATTATACACTGATTATATATTAAAAACACGCTTCTTCGAAAGAATCTGTCCCCGGTTTCCCCTCCCGAGGCAATAACCTATAAATATCACCCCTCTTACCTCTAAAGTATAATCACGATATTAGATATCGTCTACTAGGAACGGTTACTAGGGACTTTAATCTTACCTTCCTCTAATAATATAGATTAGGGCCGTCCGTAAGCTCGGGTAAGCGACCGACCCTATACAGGCGACGCAGTCTTAGGGCTCTTTAAGCCGAGAACACCACTAAAATAAGAGTAGTAAGCGTTTAACACTCCGCGGCCCTAGAATTACCTTTACTATATTACTCCCCCCTAACCCCGCTCGCCTTATATATATCCCTTATATCTATATAGTACTATTCTTACTAGGCTTTCTTTACGTTCTTTATATAATCTCTGTTTAGCTGCACTATAGGCGCACTATATCTATTATTTAGCGAAGACGGACGCGTTAGGCGTCCTTTACTCTTCTTAGAGATTCCCCGACGTTAAATAATACTACTACTACTACTACTTCTAACAAGGCGGGGTAATTAGGAGTGGGGAAATCAGAACCGGGGGTATTATAGGAACTACGCTAGTTCTCGATATACCCTATAATAAAACGCTTCGAAAAATACTCTGCCGCCTTAGCCCGGCTAGTAACCAGGGCGCGCTTATAGGGCGTATATTAGGGCTTCCTTAATAACCTATCCGCGGGGTTTAATATCCCCGGGCGGTACCGAATCTTAAAAATGAAACAGGGCGAGCTCCTTAAGCTATTAGGCGTGTTACCCCTTAAGTTTCGGCTTATCTAATAGGTAACGATAGTTTAGGTAGTCCGTTAGAATAACCACAGGGCTCTGACTATAGGTAATATAGTAACGCTATATACGGAAAGACTCGATAATAGCTATAAACTCCGAATCCCGCGTGCTATAGTTAAGCTCGGCGCCGCGGAGCTTATAGAATATAAACGTAACCGGCCTCTATAGCCTATACTCGAGCTAACTAATAACGGCCCTAATTACGAAAGCAGAGGCGTTAGGCTTAATACGTATTAGCAGAGCGGGATTAAAATACTATAACACGGGCGCTTTCTAAAATAGCAGCTTTATTTCCTTAAGCGCTAACTAGCCCTATAGGGATAGTATAAGGACCCTAGTATAGCCCCCTTTTAAATAGTCTATAAGGGGGGCAGCCACCTTAGAGTAGTTCCGGATAAAACGCCTATAGAAACCCGTAAAACCCAGGAAGATCTATATCTTCTTAATACTATTAGGGAGTTCCTAATCGCGGATAGCCTCTACCCGAGATTAGTCGATATATACCCTATCAGGACTATAGATAAAACCAAGGAATTCGACGCCTCTAGTCTTAAATTCACACCTATCAGGGTTAGTATATAATAACTACTGCGTAAGCTTAGTAAGGACCTCGCGGACGTATACGCGGTGGGTGGCTAAGTCCTTACTATAGATAAGGATATTATCGAGGTATACTATATAGATAGTATCTATAAGGCCTGATGACGCTTAATTAATATAGTATTAGAAACTCGCTAGCGCGTTAGTATGACTAAATAGTATAATAAGATATTCGTAGTGGCCGTATTTCGTGCGGAACGCCGTCTTCTATTTTTCACCCGCCCGTATACGGAGCCGGTAGTATATATCCTTAAGATCTAGCTTAGTATAGTACTACGCTAAAGATAAACGATCTAAGATTTAGTGGATAAGGGGTAATAGGGTACGATCCTTAATAGTCACCTTATTTAGTCCCCTATAATTAATATAGAGGCGTAGCTTACTACCCTTCTTAGGAATGAATAGAATAGGAATGAATAGAATAAGGGCGCTAGCCGGGCTAGTAGACGGTCTAATCTAGCCCTTTATAACGGTATCCTATAAATACTAACATAGCACCTCGAGCTCTTATACGGCGAGGGGGTAAATAGGACCGTATAGCGGCTTCTTCCCTTCCTTGATCTTAATCGCGTAGTCCTATTACTAGTGCGCTGGTAGCCTCTCGGCGTTTTCGACGTTAAAAATATTAGCGAAATCTTAATTCTATTCCGGTAGTATAGGGGTAGCGGGTTCCCCGGCTTCTAAGAATTCATCTCTATAGCCCACCGAAGGGTTTTCTAGGCCGATATAGCCGACACATAAGCCCTGCGTGGAACCTATATAGCTTAGGGTAAGGATAGACTTAGCTTATCTAACTGTCCTATGTAGCTCTCTTAGGGATATAACTATATTAAGCTCTACGTAGGTTAAGGGGTAGGTCTTTATACTACACTACTAATTAACGTTAGGGTTAACGGCCGTAAGCTATAGCCTCCCTAGGGTAATCTTCGCGCTCGTAAGATTCATAATATAGAACTCAGCGCCTTATACCCTCCTTCGACCCTAATAGTCTATCGCGATAATAATCCTATAAGTAGACCTAAGAGTTATCTTCGTTTATCCTTCTATAATCCAGGATACTGGAACCGGGGACCCGTCAGTAACCTAATTAGGTCCTAGGAGGGACTGAGCTAAAACCTTAATATCGGCGCCTCCGTTAAGGAGAGCCGACGTGTATACCTATTCCCTCCCTCGGCGAAAGGGAACGCGTGCCTTTACCGGTACAGTGGTAGTAAAAGGGGTTACTTAAGGTGAGTGTTTTTTCTAGGGCACCTCGCCCGTGACACGGCCGACCGTGGGGCGAGAGGTAAACACCGGTTAGGTATTCGGGTTATTATTACTCGAGCCCTATGCCTAAGGGCTAGGGCATATAATAGCGTAGTGCCCCTTTTAGTTATAGTTATAGTAAGTAATAGAATCGAGGTAATATGGGGACGGCCCGGACTAGGACAACGGCCTAGGCTATATAGGGTAACTAGGGGTAGGCGCAGGCGCAGAAACAGGCGTATAAGTGGGCGCAGGAACAGGGGCAGAAGCAGGGGCATAAGAAAGGCCAGAGGCACGCGAGCGGAAACAACGTCGTTATATAGTAGACTAGAAATCTATCCGAGCGACGGCCAGACCGTCGGTAATAGTTAAGGCTTCCGCCCTATAACAGGCCGGGGCCAGGTCTTAGTAGTCCTTAGGAACCCCTATAAACACTATATAGTCCCGAATAGGCGGGAGCACCCTTATCAGCACTATCTAAATCCTCTACTAGTCTAGGAGTTCGCCCGGTAGTTCCAACTCTAGGGCTTCCCACCGTTATATAAACTTAGCGTAAGTCTCGCCCTCTCTCTAGGATAAGATAGACTCGCTCTAGATCTATACCGCTACCTCTCTTAAACGGGTATCGTTATTATTAACCTAATAAGACAGCTAAGCTTATAAGGCAGCCTAGGTAACCCTATTAGAATCGCTATCGTACTTATATCGTAGCTCGGCCTACTAGCGTTCCTTAAGGTGGTAGGGGAGGCACGATATAATGAAGTAGTTCTGTATAGCATCTATAGGAAAGGATTAAGAATCCAGGTCGAACCGCTAGTTAGTCTCCTAGATAAATATACGATACTTAGCCCAGGATACACTATCCTATTTAGGTAAGGGGAAATTAAACTTAGCCTAGGTGGCGGAGCCCTATATAGATATTGTTATAAACACATCGTAGGTATACTAGGATCCCGCCGGGGTTATAACGCGACGTGGGGGCTTAGCTACATAGCGGTGGGTACTATCGGCCGGGTTAGGATTAATATTAGGATTAATAGTAGTGGTAGCGACGG